AAATGTGCACAAGCAATATGACATCTTTTATCATTGCTAACACATTGCTACAATTCTTGAGGATGCACGTCTGAAATTCGGAAAGTCCAAAGTTCACAAGGTTCGAGGTCAAGATACTACATGTCAAAAACTTAAAACGATACGTATTTTGACTTACTCTGAAAGGCATGTTCTTTGGATAATTATTCATCCTCAAGGGAACAAGTCCCTTTAGTTACATAGTTACAGGCAATTGTGGGACCATGATATTTTATGGCCTGAGTAGGGTAGATCAGAATATGCATACCTCCAATGTCTGGTCATGAACTTAAGAGCCTGATGCGGAGCTAAATAAACAGAGCATCGTTACCACTATCATCATGTTCTAGAATCAGTGGGCAAAGTCCAACAACTTCGCTGAGATTGACTATAATTGTTCTGCAAGATACGGAAACCTAATCTAGCAAGGAATCAATGGGTATCCTATAATCTTGGATTACAATCTAATGATTGGCATGTGCCGCAAGTAATCACACTCCTAATAGGATGCAATATCTATTCCTAGATATCCTCTGGAATTCTCTCAGTTAAATGAGGATTCTACTATCCTAAAAGATCTCCTTGGATGGTATAAATAAACCATTCTAGGGTTCATATCTGGTAACTCGATTCTCGCATACTTATTCTCTTGCCCACTTCTTAAGTCTTATTTTGCTTACTAACTTGACCATCAGAGAGCCATTGATCGGTACACTCTACCTCCCAATCTTTGGCTTGCTTACCACTATTTGTTCCTTTACATGTACTTGGATTTATGCATCTCCACCGTTAATGATGGTGTGCAAATTTGGTTCCACACTTGGATAAAAGTGCGGTGGGGGCCACCATCAACAGAAACTCACAATTCACATTTTGTGGCCTTGAATATTGCACGGCAATCCCAATTTTCGAGGATTAGCCATTGTTGCTCTTGCTCATTGTACTTCGCGTATCCACATGTTGGAAATGTCTGTCATGAGATGATATTTTAAGGACATTTCACATATTAAACCAATTTACTTTAATCTAAGGGCAAATATTATTGTTTAAAGTCGTCTCATTAAATGTCATACGCTTAAAAGATAAGTCCAAGGAATATGTAATAAAGTGTAATCCATTCAGGAAACTTTTCTCTTTCATACACATATCTTCAATGCTTATAATCATAGGATTGACAATCCAAATAGATCAATACATACTATGTCTTATCCCTGGAGAGTGTCTAGTCTCAAGTCATTGGTGTGAAAGACACGAAAGTAAGTATCTAGATGCTCAATAAAGAGTGAGTAAACTGAACACGTCAACCACAAATTCTCATACTCATGTCATATGAGAACTCACCAATTGGGATAATACAAAGTAGTCCTTTGACTTAAGGCAACACAATTGTCTTGTTGTTAGGTCCTTAATCGACTATGTAAAAGACACTACTATTTGAGAAGGTGTCCACGACATCGTTGGGGTTAAGCAACCTAATCATAAAGGTATGCGAGTGTACGCATTACGCAAGGACCTACCTTTAGGAGTCTTCCTCACACCTTATAATATCAAGAACGTGGTCCTCGCTGACGGCTCTGAACCCCTCACCACCAACAATGTCTTCATTTACCAAATTATTTGTCATCTCATGTTTTTGGCCCAATTTTCGTGTCAACATTATAAAACATTATGCCAAAAATATAAAGTGGCGGAGAGTCTCACTTTTGAGAAAATCTCATTTTTAATAATATAGCTAGTTTATGCCTTGTTTATATGCAAAACAAAACGTTGTGTGGGTGAATTACATTTTTTATTGTTGTGATGCTTTGGTTGCTGGGAGGCGTTATGTTTAGAGAAAAAAATGAAAATAGTTGTGTGAGAAGAGGAAACGGATTTGGATCCCATTCGAATCCAAATTGTGGGGATCCTATGGATCCTCACATCTTAGTCATACATTGTATATCGTGCTGTCAGAAATCATTTGACTTTTTTATTTAAAAATAAAACATGAATAGTACCTAATAAAAACTGGCCGCATGATGTACGATGAATGGTTAGGATGTGAGGATTCTCATCTGATCAATAGAAAACATCAGTGGAGAAAGACTATACAATAGAGAGATAATTTTGTAATTGCCACTTAGTACTACGGTCTACTAGTATTCCTTTTCACTTGTAAGTGAGAGGTCTTAGGTTCGCCAAAGACAAATTTGAACCACATTGTTGTTAGCCCATTGTGAGATTTAGCCCATCACAACCCCTTAGACCATCTCCAATGGTTGGCTAAAAGCCAAATATTTTAGGCCGGAAAATTTAGTTTTTAGCCCAGAAACAACTTTTTTGCTCCAACCATTTTAACCTAAAATTTTAGCCCGGGATTATTAAAGAATGAACATAGACTATTTTTTTGTTAAATTATTATTTTTTTAAATAAATATGTAGACTATCGTAAATTAATTTTATGAACATTTTAATCTAAAAAAAATTAAATTCCGATAAATATTGAAAAATTTAAATTCCGATTTCTGGGCTAAATTTCGAGGAGAATCTGGCCTTAGTTTAGCATTTAGCATTTAGCCTAAATTTTCCCCTTGGGTTGGAGTGGGTTTGAGGGGTAATTTGGCTTTTAGCCCACCATTGGAGTTGGTCTTAGTCATGGTATAAAAAATCGATAATATCGGTGATATTTCGCCGATATTATCGTTTTTTTGGAAGTCCGATATTTCTACACATATCCAATAGGTTTTCGTCAAAATATCGAAATAATATTGATAATATCGCGATATTAGCGATAATATCGCGATATTAGCGATATTAGCGATAATATCGCGATATTAGCGATATTATCGCGACATTGCTTGAAGGCGACGCCGATGGAGTAGACGGCGACGGCTCGACGAGGAGGAAGGCGAGGGAGGAGCAGAGGGAGACGCGGACGAGGAGGATCGCGCCGATGGGGACGACGGAGGAGAGGTAGAGGTCGTGGGACATATTGACGGGCTCGACGAGGAGGAAGGCGAGGGAGGAGCAGAGGGAGACGCGGATGAGGAGGATCACGCCGATGGGGACGATGGAGGAGAGGTAGAGGTCACGGGACATGGTGACGGGCTCGACGAGGAGGAAGGCAAGGGAGGAGCAGAGGGAGACGCGGACGAGGAGGATCTGAGAGATGGATCGAGAGATGAGGGAGTGGGGTGTGTCTGTGTGTGGAGGAAAGGAAAGGAAAGAAATAAATAATAGAAAATGAGGGAGTGGGGTGTGTCTGTGCGTGTGTATGTGTGTGGAAAGGAAATAAATAATAGAAAATGAGGGAGTGGGGTGTGTCTGTGCGTGTGTATGTGTGTGGAAAGGAAAGAAATAATAGAAAATATGTGTGTGGAAATGAAAGAAATAATAGAAAATAAGGGAGTGGGGTGTGTCTGTGCGTGTGTGTGTGTGTGTGGAAAGGAAAGAAATGTACATCCCACGTGAAGAAGGAAGAAAGGTAGTAGAGAAATGATGGGTGCGGCAGTATGTCAGAATTAGGGTAGATTTAAAAACTAAAATATGAGTTTTACTCGAAAGTTGTAGTAAATCATTATATATATAAATGATTATGGTGTGTTTAATTTTTTTTTCATTAATTAATTACTACATATTTTCTTCACTCACAGTGTTTGCCAGCTCGTTGTATAATCAACTTAAATCAGTTAAATCCATCATGTAATGCATTTCCTTCCAATTTTTTGTGATAAACTAATAGATAATTGACTAAATAAACATTCTGCAAAGTTTCAATAAAAATTTCCAAGTTTTTCTTACAATTTCCGTGGTTTCCATGTAATTTTTATCGATATCGATATTATCCCGATATTTCCATCGATATTTTCGTGTTTTCGAACTACCGATATTTCCGATATTACCGATATTTTCTTCCTTGGTCTTAGTGTAGATAATATCACTTATTCAAAAAAAAAATTGTAATTAATTTTTATTTAACAAATGATATTATCTATACTAATAGAATGGACGAGTGAATTAAACCTTATAACAATAATGTACTTCAAATTCAAATCGAGCTAAGTCCTACTTAAAAATGGAGAAGCATATGAACTTTGGTTAGAATTTCAACATAAATCCTAATTTGGGCTATTTTTCCAAATTTCTCAGTTTTCCCCTCCTTCAAACCCTTAGGGTGCGTTTGTTGCATTGGACTAACTCGGACTGGACTAACTTCAAGGACTAAGCTGGACTGGCTTGGCTTGGACTAACCAGGATAAAAATAGTTAAGTGTTTGGTGCAGTCCCGGACTAGATCTCGGACTAACATATTTTAGATTCAATATTGATGTCTTTTTCCATTTTTCAATGGAACTAAACTTTGATAATCTGCATCTATCTATCCAATTACTTGTCGTCTTCCTCAACACCTACCATTTCTCTCCCTTTTTACAGAAAAACACCAGCCACGCGGCCTCCGAGACAGGAATATCTAATTCTGGTTCCCTTTTGCTGATTGGGAACGATGTACAATAGAAAGAACAGAGGAGGGGAAACTTGAAATTTGGGTGGAGATGATGAGGGACGGAGATGCGTGGCCATTTGATTTCTAGGAGACCCTTTTTGTGATCAGCGGTGAGATGGCGATGCTCGGAGGGAACTGTTCTGATCAAACCACTGTCATCTTCCCAGGCTCCAGATCCGACCGACCTAGACTCTTCTCCGAGCGGGAGTCTGGCGATTTGAGACCCGTTGGGGGAGTTGGCGTGTTGGGTCGATGATCCAAAGCGAAGCAGAGAGTCTGCGAAGTGATGCAGACGAGCGAAGCGGAGGAACAAAGCAGGTCTTAGCTAGTCCCATGGTTGTCGAGGACTCTCGCTAAGAACCTACAGTGAAGGCTTTAGTCCGTGCGAATCCCACTTAATCTCATTAACGTGAGTCCGCGTGATACCAAACACTGGACTGGACTAAGAGTTAGTCCAGTCTAGTCCACTTAGTCCAGTCTAGTCCAATGAAACTTAGTGAAGGCAAACAAACGGGGCCTTAACCCTCTGCAATCCCTTCCTTTCCCTCGAGTCCCTTCCAATTTTTCACACAATGAAACGCTCAGCTGAGGCCGTTCCCATCGCCGCCTCCTCCGCCACCGCCTCCTCCTCGCTGCCGCCCAAGAAACCCGTTTTCTTAACCAAAGCCCAACGGGAGCAATTAGCCCTCCAACGCCGCCAAGAACAATCCGAAGACCAGAAACGCCACCAACACCATCTTCTCTCGAGTCTCTCCCACTCGCGCCCTTCCTCCGACAACGCACCGCCCGCAACCACCACTAGTTCTGACCGAGACAGAGATCGAGATAGAGACAGAGACCGAGATCATAGGGACCGAGACCGAGACAGGGATCGATACTCCCGTGACCGGGAGCGAGATTCGGAGCGGCGGAACCGCGACCGCGACCGAGATAGGGAGCGCGAAGAGGAGGCCAAGGCTAGAGAGCGTGCCCGCTTAGACAAATTGGCCGAGCGCGAGCGGGACAAAGAGCTGGAAGCCATTAAAGAGCAGTATCTTGGATCCAAGAAGCCCAAGAAGCGAGTGATCAAACCCAGCGAGAAGTTCCGATTTTCTTTCGATTGGGAGAACACAGAGGACACTTCTCGGGATATGAATGCTCTGTATCAAAACCCTCACGAGGCCCAGCTTCTGTTTGGGCGAGGGTTTCGGGCCGGGATGGACCGAAGGGAGCAGAAGAAGCTTGCTGTGAAGTACGAGAGGGAGCTGCGGGAGGAGATTCGGAAGAAGGACGGCGTCGAGGAGAGGCCTGAGGAGGCCGCTGCTCAGAGGCTTAAGGAGGAGGCTGCGGAAATGTATGACACTTTCGACATGAGGGTCGATCGCCATTGGACTGATAAGAAGCTTGAAGAGATAACTGAGAGGGACTGGAGGATTTTTCGAGAGGATTTTAACATTTCGTATAAGGGGTCAAGGATTCCGAGGCCAATGAGGAGTTGGGCAGAGAGTAAATTGAGTGAGGAGTTGCTTAAGACTGTGGAGAAGGCTGGGTACAAAAAGCCTTCTCCGATTCAGATGGCGGCGATTCCACTTGGCATGCAACAGCGCGATGTTATTGGCATTGCTGAGACTGGTTCTGGTAAGACTGCTGCCTTTGTTCTTCCTATGTTGACTTATATTTCGAGGTTGCCTCCCATTAGTGAGGAGAATGCGGCAGAAGGGCCTTATGCTGTTGTTATGGCGCCTACTCGTGAGCTTGCACAGCAGATTGAGGATGAGACTAACAAGTTTGCGCAATTCTTGGGTATCAAAGTGGTTTCCATTGTTGGTGGGCAGTCCATCGAGGATCAAGGGTTTAGAATTAGGCAAGGATGTGCAGTTGTAATTGCCACTCCAGGGCGTTTGATTGATTGCTTGGAGAGGCGTTATGCAGTTCTTAACCAGTGCAATTATGTTGTGCTTGATGAGGCTGATAGGATGATTGATATGGGGTTCGAGCCACAGGTTGTGGGAGTTTTAGATGCAATGCCCTCCAGCAATTTCAAACCTGAGAATGAGGACGAAGAACTTGATGAGAAGAAGATATACAGAACCACTTATATGTTCAGTGCCACCATGCCACCTGCTGTGGAGCGGCTTGCTAGGAAGTACTTGAGGAATCCTGTTGTGGTCACCATTGGCACGGCTGGAAAGACAACTGATTTGATCACTCAGAATGTGATCATGAGCAAGGAATCTGAGAAACTTGAGAGATTAAAGAGATTGCTTGACGAACTTGGTGATAAGACTGCTATTGTGTTCGTTAACACCAAGAAGAATGCTGACTATGTTGCTAAGAGTTTGGATAAGAATGGATATCGTGTTACCACTTTGCATGGAGGGAAGTCACAGGAGCAGAGAGAAATTAGCCTTGAAGGTTTTCGGACCAAGAAATACAATGTTCTAGTTGCAACCGATGTTGCAGGTCGTGGGATTGACATACCTGATGTGGCCTATGTTATTAATTACGATATGCCTGGGAATATCGAACAGTACACTCATCGTATTGGGCGTACTGGCCGTGCAGGGAAGACTGGTGTGGCCACAACATTCTTGACTATGCATGACACGGATGTATTTTATGATCTCAAGCAGATGCTTATTCAGAGTAATAGTCATGTTCCTCCTGAACTGGCGAAACATGAGGCCTCAAAGTTCAAGCCAGGTTCAGTTCCTGATAGACCACCAAGGCGTAATGATACTATTTTTACTCACTGAGAAGTTAGGAATTTACCAGAGTTTTCAACTGAGGGCCCAGCTTATTCACTGTGTAATGGCGTTTTCATGGCTGAGACATCTTTGCTTAATACTGGAACTGAAGAAGTGAGTTGTTTTGATAGGGATTGTGCTCATCTAAAATTTATGCTGAACTGTAATTCGCAAATTGATGTCATAACTTTTTCCACTGGAATAATGTTGTTAATCTTTTGCTAGAATCAGTAAATTCTCATGATTATATCAGTTTGAAAGTATTTTTTTTTCCCACTCGTTATTGAGTTTTGCAAATTATTCGTTCACTTGAGCCGGTTCTCTTCAAATACTATTTTTGTCTGTTGAAACAGTGTTCTCATATCACATTTGAATGCAGAAATAAACGTTAAGCTACTCTTGTATGCTTTTTATGTATTATGTATGTATTATGTTGACAGTGTGGTGGTCACATCTGCCTTGGAGGTTCTTGGCAACAGTCTCTGAGATTCTGCCGGACCACCTCGTGGGATGGCACTGATTGATATTGGGGCTTTTCTGTGCATGCCAGATTTGATGAAGCAATTCGATATTATGGTGCTGTTTTCTACTATGGTATGTGGTTTAAGTTATTGCTGCTATGTGGTATTATTGAGGATTAACTGTGATTAGTAAGGAAGTGAATTTGAAGGCAGAGAAAAATACTCTGTTCATAAATCATTACATAAAGTTTGTAAATATGGGATAGGAATAGGTGGTTGTCTTTAATGGAATATAAGATTTTGACAAAACAGTACCCTGTCGAAATAATTTAGTGTCGTTTTTCTAGCTACTGCTGTAGTTTTATGCTTTTAGTATTGGCTTTTGATAGAATGTAATTTTGAGTTATCGACAGCAGATAATATACTGATAACAATGTTGACATTACTAATCCTGATCATATATCGAAGCATATATAATATTTGAAGTCCATTCTTGTACATAAGTGCGGATTGGTTCTGCAAGAATATATGTTGTATAGTGTTTTTTCTGTTGAAAAGTGGTGTATTGTTGAACTGCATATGGTAAAATCATGTTTGCGTAACTATTTCTTTACTCTGGTGTTGCAAGTCTTTTATAGTCATAATCGATGACATAATTGAGATTTAGATATCATGTGTAGATAGTCAATCTCATGCACCTTAATGCGGAAAATTATCTTGAATTGAAACTCACTAAGCCAAATAAATAGACGAAAAGAGTTGAATGGACCCGAAAATGGTACATTGTTCCATATTAATTTATATTCAGCTTATGAAAATTTGTCATTCCATGATCAAGGTTTGTTTTTGCATATGTAATCTAGGTCATAATTCTGTGAGTTTATACATGTTTAGTGGACTAAGGTGACATTGATTAGTAGGACGATTAACGGCTGTTAATAGATTTAGATGCATTCTACAGATAAGTTGCATATATTTGAGCATATTACAGTCCAGATGAAATAAATAAATAAACATGACTAGCACACTACTGAAAATTTCAAAACCATGTCATGCAGGCCTTGTTGTCTGAGGTTAAAACATGCAGATATGTCATTGTTAACCTCACCTTTGTGAGGCAAGTTTGATGAAATTGCCCTCACAGTTCAGGCTTGAGCACGCGAAAATCACATAATTAGCGTGCACCACTCCTTGGCTGGGATGAATGTGCATATTGATACTTTTCTGCATAATATGAGTTTCTGATGAGGACATCAACGTCGATAGTTTAGTGTGCACCGCCCCTGGAGTCCAATTGTCTTTTATTTTTGTTTTGTTAAGTTTTCTGTGTTTTCACGTACTCTAAACTATCTAAATCTGCTGCCAACTCTGTACTACATCAATTTCCTTACATACTTGAAGGTAGGGAATTTTTCGTTTTCGGTTTTTCCTAACCCAGGTCTCCTATAAAATTTATAGACAGCATTGTCATATAATTTCACCAGATTATCCTCACGAGTGCAGGACTCATTTCCTTGTCTCCAATACCAAATGGTCGGGGTGTGTCACCAAAACGTAACAGTAGCAGTAGCGGAACGCGTTCCACATCGGAGGAGGACGAGTGAAGAGTTGGTTTCGGTATTGGCAAAATTGAGTTATGTTGGTCACTTGAAGTCTAGTTTTGCTGAACTTGTTGAACTGTAGAAATTGGGTTCAAAAGCATTTGTTGGGGGAAGGGCCAAGATTTTTTCATGACCGTGAAGATTTTGAATAGTGTGGTTGATATTTCAGTGGATCAGTGTTGACAAGGACTCACAAGAGCAGATTTATAACATCAACTTATACCTGCACGAATAAGGGCTGGTTTGGTAGTACTATGCTTTGAAAAAAAATTGCTGTGAGAATAAGCCGCTGTGCTGTGAGAATAAGCAGTTGTGAAAAAAATCAACAGAGTGTTTGGTAAACTTTTTCGTAAGAGTGCTTTTGAAAAAAAAAAAAGTCTGATAGTGAATCTTTTCATTAAAGGAGCACTATAGCTCTGTATGCTTTGAAAAAAAGCTAGTTTTCCAAAGCTGCAAATAACAGCTTCAGCTTTTTCCTTTGATTTCAGCTTATTCTTACAGCAGCTTCCAAAATAAGCCTTTTTTCAGTTTACCAAACACCTAAAATCCGCACAGCTTTTTTTCATTGGTGCTTTTTTTTTAAGCACCTCACTCCCAAGCCATCCATAAATGGTGTGTCCTCTTTCGCTTGATAAATCCCTAATAAATCTTTTGAAAAGCCATAAAAACGTTTACATGGATTTGGGAATCCGAAAAACATATACATGAAGTTCCGTTTCGTCAACTTCACTGGAACCAGACTCCCATGGCACTTCTACCATTGCCAAAATTCGATTTAAAGTAACAAGTGAATACTTCGCAATAGCCTCGTTAGACTGTGCGTCCTTCTTTGTCTATTCAGATAATAGGTCGGAGCATAAACTAGAACATTAAGGAGCTGTAAAGATAATTGTAAAGGGTGTGTTTAGAAGTGTATTTTTAAAGTGATTGAAAGCCCTTTTGATGAAAGTGTTTTTGGAACCAAGGCTTAATAAAATGCAAGGGAATTCTGGAAAGACACTTGAATTGCTTATTGTAAGAAGCACTTAACTAGTGCTTCTCCTAAATGCACTTCAAGTGCTCTTGAAACCCAAAAGTACTTTTACCAAAAATGTTTTCAATCATTTTAAAAGCACTTCCGAACGAGCCTAAAATCGTTAGTTGTTAATACGAATGCCAGAACCCCAAACCACAAAAGTTTCGTTTACAGCTATTTTTGCTGTTTATGAATATTGTATTATTGGCATAAAACGCGACGGTGAAGTTATTTTTCGTCCAAGGGGAGTGGATAAATGGAGGATTAGGACAAAATGAAGTTGTTTTGATGGCTTCCTTGTAGCATCGCTAACAAAGCTAGGTCCCATGATGGTAGGGTAATCCGGTCTGTTTACAGGGTTACCTCAGACTGAAAGTCAGACACCATATTGTGACTAGGAATTTAAGACCAATGCAAAGCAGTTAGTCCGGTGTCCTAGGGCCTAGGATGAGGTAAGGACCTCTCCATGCCTGACGAGAATACCCACTTCTTCTTTCCTTACTCCTGTTGCAACTTATGCGACTAGCCGTGTCAATAATATAATGTCATGTGTCATGATAAGTAATGAAAGACAATGAAAGAAATTTGTAAAACAGGAGAGGATTATGAGTTACATACATAATATTAATCCATGCAGGACTATAAGTTAATGCAGGACAACCTCCATTAAAGGAGGATGTCTGTCTAATTTCGAAGTATTAATGTGCATAGTTTAGTAGTATTTCTTTTCTCATAAATCTTTTTCAACCATAGTTTATACGATTTGTTGTGATCTGAGGAACACACTTTGAGCAAGCACTGACTAAAATAAACCCATCCATAGCGGACGAGGTCTAATGATCAACTCTTTTTCTCTTCTTTGGCCCTATAAGACTAACAACTTTTCAACATTCATTTCCGGTTGCTCGTCAGCTGCAGGAATTGCCGTACTATCAGAATTTTGGAGAGGTCAGTGATTTATTTGGCTTGCTGATTTTCTGTCCGAGTATTTTGATGATTTCCTCCAAATTCAAAGTAAAGAAAACTAGCCAAAAAGACCTTCTAGCATTCTATGAAAGTGTAACTACGAGAATATCTATGCTTTATATTTCATTTTCGGGCCCTCCCTTGCTTCGAATCCTTAGCTCCAACTGTGAAAAGAGGGCTAACGAAATTCGGAGGGGGCCTCAGGGGATACCAGGAAATGATGTAAATATCAGTATAGCATTAGCTAATTTTGAACTCAACAATGTTACTACGAGTAAAGGAATATTTAGAATTAAACATAGTAAAGCTTTCTTTGTAGCGTCGAGATTTTTCATAAAAAAGGGTAAAAACATCTTCATTCTCTATATGGAGATTCAAACCCCACCACTACTATCAATTGAAATGCCATCATGAAAGACCTAAACCCACTTACAAGGCAAGGTGTGTGCACTTAAAATTCCTAAATGCGACGAAAAAGCTTTCCAACTAAATCGAGAAACTTGGTGTTAAATCACAATCACATCATCATAATAAACTTTGCGTATTTAATCTACTCTTATCTTTGTTTTTTCCCCGTTAGGTACTTACATGCATGTTTACCTAATTAGATTGCACTATGTTCTTCTTTATTTCTGTTTTGCTTTCCAAATTAGATTTCAACTACAACTACTACTCTATTATAGTGTTTTTTTAATAATTAAGTTTAAGTTTTTGAGCCAAGAGGAGGGCAAGAGTACAAAAGTTTGATCATAGGTTAAGGGATGAGGCTTTACCACTAGTATAATCTATATCAAGCGCTTTACCATAGTGGCCGAAAACAATAATGCTTATGCGATTTGGTGCGAATATCATTCAAAAGCGGATGAATTGCCAATTTTCTCCTTCAATGCAACGACTTAATATTCCCATATTCCTAAGTTTTGAGTTTTAGGATTTTAGTCTTTGCATTGAAGGAGAAAATACTATATTCAAAACTCAAATTTTGAGTTTTCAAAATATAGGTATTTATATTGGAGATGATTGAACCCAAAACTCAAAAAAAAAATTTAATTGAATGAGCTCCACCTTGTACTCAAATCTCATATTAAAACTTAAAGTTGAATCACACTTTGGTTTTTTTTTTTTGCCAAAAAAAATGTTGTGGAGACGAGATTTGTACCCGTGACAAAACCCAAATGTGATTTTTTTTCTTATATTTAAACTCAAATACAAGATTTGAGTCTTTACGTTGAAGATTTCGTGAATATATATAACTGAGTAGCTACACGTGTAACAAGTTACTATCGAGTTGTTTTATAATGAAATACCTAATATCGGACATATGCAAAGATATCCTATATTCCACCCCACTTGCCTCCGATATCAAGTAATTTATACCAAACCATGTCATTGGTACTTAAAATTATCCATTCGTGTTATTTAATAGGGAGTGGTATTCACACATTTCCTTTTACTTTCGGCACATCTTTGTTAATTTTTATCTATTGATCTTCTTCAGTTCATTTGATCCGACAGTTGAAAATTGAAACAAATGTGTAAGAAGTAAATTGGTATGTGAATAGCACCATCCTATTTAATTTATAAGTTAGTACCAAGCAATTTCAAGAGAAAAACAAACAATTCTTAAAATTTTGGATTCTAATGGGTAAAATAATATTTCATTTGTTCCTTTTGCCTTTGGGGTGTATACAAGTTGAGCTAAGTTGCAATGGTACCCAAGCTCGGCTCAAGCTTGAATCAAACTCGTAAGGTAAGACTAACATAGGCGGCTTCCAAATAAAGAAACATACCAAATCAAACCAATTGTGGTTTGCTTCAATTTAGTCCAAGAGTACTCTCTTTTAGAGCTCGTTTGGAAGCATTTTTAAAATAACTGAAAATATTTTAGATAAATATATTTTTAAAATCAATTCTTAATAAAAATCCAAGTAGATCTTCAAAAAGCACTTTAAGCATTTCTTGCGAGAAGCATGTATCTAGTGCTTCGTCTAAAAAGCACTTAAAGTGTTTTTGGGACCCAAAATTAATTTTTCCAAAAACACTTTCAGTTATTTTAGAAGCATTTACAAACAAGCCCTTAGTGTAAAAACTGAACCAACCTCTTGAATTAGTTTGCTTTATCCGGTTTGAATTGGTGGTTCCTTGTCCGCCTTTGGTCGTAATAACCAAGGAATTAAATATCGATATTATCGGCGAAATATCGCCGATAATATCGTTTTTTTCCAACAGCGATATTTTCAGAGTATTCCAATTGATTATCGTGATAATATCGCGATATTATCAATGATATCGATAATATCGCTCTCTCTCTCCGTCGTCGGAACGGCAGCCGAGCTCCGTCGTCGCAGCTGCCAAGATCTGCGCCTCTCACAGGTGGTGATGGTGCTCGCCGGAGTGTGCGCCACGGTGGAGGTCACGGTGTCATCCGCCATTCTCGCAGAGGCTGGAGAGAGAAGACTGATGATGTGTGATGATGGTGGTGTCGTCCTCGAGCTGCTCGAGTCGAGCAGATGGTGCTGTTGCTGTGTGTGTGTGGTCACGGCAAGAGAGGGAGAGAGGTAAGAGGATTTTGAGAGAAAGAGAGAGAGACAGTGCAGAGAAGAGAGAGAGAGAGTCGAAGTGAGAGAGAAGGAAATGGCTTGGTCCCTGGTGTGGATTTGCACTTTGAAGTGTGTCTGTGCGTGTGTGTGTGTGTAGAAGTGTGTGTCTGTGCGTGTGTGTGGAAAGGAAAGAAATAATAGAAAATGAGGGAGTGGGGTGTGTTTGTGCGTGTGTGTGTGTGTGTGGAAAGGAAAGAAATAATAGAAAATGAGGAAGGTAATACATCCCACGTGAAGAAGGAAGAAAGGTAGTAGAGATTTGATGGGTGCGGCAGTATGTCAGAATTAGGGTAGATTGAAAAACTAAAATATGAGTTTTACTTGAAAGTTGTAGTAAATCATTATATATAAATGATTATGGTGTGTTTAATTTTTTTTCATTAATTACTATATATTTTATTCACTCACAGTGTTTGCCAGCTCGCTGTATAATCAACTTAAATCAGTTAAATCCATCATGTAATGCATTTTCTTCCAATTTTTTGTGATAAACTAATAGATAATTGACTAAATAAACATCCTGCAAAGTTTCAATAAAAATTTCCAAGTTTTTCTACAATTTCCGTGGTTTCCATGTAATTTTTATCGATATCGATATTATCCCGATA